GTTGATATAAAAAAATCTAGATATAAAGAGTATATGACATACGTATGTGCATATATATCTGTGTATAAAAAATTAATTTTATGTATAAATTCTGTATATGAATAATTGAGAAAAGTAGCATTACGTTTATAGATTATTAGATTTAAATAGAGTATTACATTTATAATTGATCGAAAAGCAAATATGTTATTGGTACCACTAAACCAGTTTTTGTCCACGTTGTAGCGAATAAAACTTTAACGAGCCACCAGATCAAACCTAACAGAGAAGCTTGCAAGCCCAGATGAGCAATCATAAGTCTGGAACAAAAATGTATATCAATGACAACAAAGTCATTAACGTCGACTTATTCATATAATCACATAATCAAATATACGTACATTTTATCTTTGGAGCGTGCTTTCGGTAATGATTTCGGAGATTCGTTATGAAGATACGCTCTGACACCTTGTATCAAATCTGTAAAATAGTCGTTCCAGACTAACGATCTAATGTCGAGTATAAATATTTTTTGATCTTCTGGCGATAACGATTCGTGCAATTGCAGCAAACGCGGATTGTTAAATCTCCATTCTTGAAAGATAAATTTCTCAAGGCGCCCCAACGATTTATTAACGTTTGTATGCAAACGAACCAGACTGAAAAAAAAAGTAAAGAATATTTCAATTGTTCAAGAGGAACTTTGTGGCAAATCAGTGTTTTAGGTAAAATATTTAACCCTACATAGGACGGCCTCCGCATAATCTTGTGATTGCATCCAAAATGTAAGCGGGAATAAAATGAACGAAGATGGCCGAGATTCTAAATAAGAAGAGCGACGGTAGAAACTTGAGATATGGATACCAAACGGCGCTTCGTAACGGATACTTGTGTAAATAGGTGTTAATGTCCTTTTCTACGAGCTCCCACTTGAAAGCTTTACACGTGCTAGATGTGCAGTGGTACACTTTTAATCCTTTGTCGCTAAAATCACAGATTATATCAGAAAAGATAAATATTATAAATTATAATTCAAAGAAAGCGCGTGTGTTTTTTTATAAAGTAAAATATAGAATCAAATTTCTTTTTTTATCTTCAAAATTACCTGTCACGGTCGACATTGTAACCTGCGACAATCAGACTGTTTACTACTATATCTACTGGAATGTAATCGTAAACGAGATGCTTTGCAACTGGCAACCTTCTCACAATGCCCTTACTAGCGCCTAATATAAAACCCTGCGGTCCGTTCTTCGATATTGTCCATCCGGGAACTGGCTCTTTCCACGCTCCTATTACTAAATATGTAAAATTGTTTGAAGTATAGTCACATGTATACTAATGATCAGATAACTGTGTCGTAATTAAACGTAAACTCACTCATCGAAGGACGAACGATAGTCGATGGAAGGCCTCCATTTACTACTTCGTGCTCGGCCAAATGTTTGGTAAACGTATAAGGATTTGGATGATCGTTTAATATTTCTGGCGTTTTGGAATTTAAAGTAGCGTCATCCAGACTGTCGATCAGCTTGAGAAATGAATTCACGTCCGCTGGCGCAGGATACACTATCTCATCGACGTCGTGCAACACTGAATTAACGTACGCACTAGAGACATGAACTAGCGCCTAAAATGGCAAATGTTGAACAAAAACAATTGTAAAATAAAAATAAATAATTGTGCATAAAAATAAATAAATATACATAAAAAATACAGAGGTAAGTTAATTACGTAAATTAATTATCTCTTTAAAATACCGGTTTACCTTGAGATCCTTGATCTCTCGGCAGAGCTGAACAATCCTGCGAGTTCCTAACAAGTTAATATTTGTCGTGCTTCTTAGATCAGCTTCAAAGTCCAACGTAGCGGCTGAATGGAAAACTACTTCCGCTTTATTTATCAAGGTTGTTCGATCTTGCGAGGACAATCCCAAATTTTCTTCCCCAACGTCCCCAGCAACTGCGATTAGTTTCTTAAATAAATCGGTTTGCTTCTCCTCCTTTAATCTGTTAAAGACCTGTGTGAAAACGAATATAATTCAGTAAGCAGATTGTACACAATATGTCAACAGATAGAAAATTTGATCAAAAATTTCTAGCAAATTGGCATCAATTCGGTTCGTACTAAGCTCATGTTTCACTGGCAAAGCCATCTGATATAATTTGGCAGCAAATTGATGACAGAAATGTCAAACACAGATTCTGCTTTGCTAACGTCAAACTATGGCTCGGTTTCGATATTCACAGTTTTGAAAATCTGTAACATATACTACAAATTTTCAGCACTGGTAGTGAATATCGGAATGTAGCCTGTGTAACAAATATATCAAAATCTGCTTAATGTCTGCTATTAATCTGTTATTTCATTCAATCTGTATTTCATTGACAAACTGTTATATTTCTTTTTGCAAGCAAATCTGCTGCCAATCTGTCGTCATACTGCATTTTGCTTATTTTGTACGTTCCTATATCCCTTTTTCGTAGTCTTTTTGCAAAGTTCATAATAGACATTTCGTAGAAATCTGTTCTTTCGACAGCCTTGGCTGGGAGAATATAGGAGAACCGGATTCCACGGACGAGGTCTCGTGGTGTGCTACTTACTGAGTTTTTCGTCAATTCCTCCAATCTCTCCGCGATCTGCTTTCCCTTCTTCGGCCGCATCAGCAGGTAAATGTTCTTGATGTCCGGGCAGCATCGTAGGAGCTTCTCTATCAGGCAGACGCCGACGAAACCGGTGCCGCCGGTGATGAATACGTTCTTACCGTTGTAAAAGTCCGTTACGTGCGATGCCATTGTTAACGGTTTCGCACGTTGATTAACCAGGCACGGCAGGAGCGATTCCGTTGACGACGAGGAGTCAGCTTCTCACAGTCAGGAACGAACGATTCGATCGAATCTCAACCAAACTCAACTTACTCAACGGCTCAACACTCGCACTCTAATCGGAGCGAACGAGAAGCAGCGAGTAGCACCGCGTGCAATACAAACAACACGAGAATCGGTTATGCCAATGCCGTTACGCGTCGACTGCTCCGACTCCGGTGAACGACTCCAAGAGGGTCCAACTCTCCAACCAGTCCAGCCTGGCAGGAGTGGTATGTGGTATGGCTCCAACCAGTCCAGTCGACGTGCCACGCTGCAATCTGCGCCCGCGCCTTCGCGCATGGAGCGAGAATGCGGGAAACACAGAGAAATCATTAGTTCAAGAGCTTTTATTTTTTATTCACGTCTATTTCTTTCAATGCAGATTATATACTTTAATCTCGGTTTAACTTACTTTTTATCTCTTTCTAGTTCCAAGAATTAGAAAAAAAAAAGATAAAAGGTAAAGTTAAACCGAGATTAAAGTAAAATCTACGTTGGAGTAGAAATGGATATTAATTTCAATCAAATAACTCCGATTAACTTAATCGGATGATTAATTTACCAAATAATACGTGATTTATTTTATTAATAATTAAGATTGTTAATTTTTTGTTGTTTATATATGTCTACCATAATTTTTTGTCTATATAATATTAAATCGTAAGAAACTAATCATTTTATCCATGTTAATACAAATAAGTTGTAATCGTCGGCGTCGATCAATTTAACTGGCAAAATTATATTTTACAGCAAAATTTTCAACTATACAATTTATTTATAATTTAAAATCTTTTTTTCTATATAAAGGGACTACAGTACATACATCTAGGACAAGAAAAAGTAGGGTATTTTTTACCATTTCTTTAGTAAAAATTTTTTTTAATTAAAAAATCGTTATATAAATCTTAAATTATATACTTTTATGTATGAATTAACTGTAAGTTTTATTTAAAAATTAATAAAATTAAGGATGTGGCAATCATTTCCGTGAGGCGGTTTTTTCTAAAACAGCTTCCGCGATAACTAGAATATCTTTTTGATTTTTCTCTGAAACAAAAATAAATATTTTTTCTCAAAAACATGAAAAAACAGTGTTTAGCAAAAAAATCATCTATCTATATCGCCGTTTTGTAAAAAATCAATATTATTAAAATCGGTTACGTCAAGGACTAGTTCTTTCATCTTTTTGATAAAAAAAATTTATTTTTGTTTCAGACAAAAACCATCAATGAAGATATATATTCTGGTTTCTATGGAAACTGTTTAGAAAAAACCGCTTCACGGAAATGGCTGCCACATCCTTAATTTTATTAATTTTTAAATAAAATTTACAATTTTAATAGATAAAAATATATATAGTTTAAGATGTATATAATAATTTTTTAATAAAAAAATTTTTCACTAAAAAATGGTCAAAAATTACTTTTCTTAGTTCTAGATATATGTAGCTTCTTAAACAATAAAAAATTAATAATTCAATTCTATCTATGTGACAAAATAAAACAAGTATTGAAGACAAGTTAATTGACCATTAAATTAATCGAGGTTTGACCAAGGTAGCCTTAAAACGAACCGAACGATAAAAAAAGATCTTTACGATTTGTTACTTTTTAACAAAAAGAGCTGTATGTACAAGCAAAATTTGTTGTGTTTATATTGCATTGAGTTTGAAAAACATTTAAAGAAAAAGATCTTTTCTTTTTCTTCATGCACATGATTAGGTTTTATATACGATTAATTGAAACAAAAGTAGTTGAATATGCTTCTTACTTCATATAATTAAATATATATAGATATCTGTATCAGAATAGTTATTAAAAACACATAACTAAGAGACAGCGCTTTGAACAGCATTTTCCATTTTAATTGGTGGTTGTAAACTAGAATTAACTTTAATTAACTATAGAATTAATTAGATTTAACTGGGATAAAAAAATTAAAATTTTAAAGAATCGAGTTAATCAGGGTAGAAATGAAAAAGAGATGTGTTTCCTTTATACATTTTCTTTCTGTATTATAGAATTTCGTACAAACCCGTCTTTGATCCATTTAATCTAAAAACGCTAAAAAATATCATTTGACAAAAAGAAACACATCATATATAACTTCGCATACGAGTTTGTTGTACAATCAGCGATTCTAGGGTTATATACGGATTTGAATGTGAATCTTCGTATTAAAAAATAAAGTGTTTATTTCAATCTTTGCTTTTTCTTTTGATTTTATTAACATACTTAATTACAAATATATTTTTCAAACCTAAAATTTGAAGAAACTGCAAAAAATATTTTGAAATTTTTAACATTGATCAGTTAAAACATGTAATCGAATAAAGAAAATATATGATAAAGTATACTATAGTATCGGTCAAAAGTATTGCATCACTTATATAAAGAAAGACGTACATAAATGTTATAAAATTTTATTTTAGTGCTGTTATTTTATACTTTGATAGGAATACTTTGAGAAAAATAAAGATCTTAATAATTTTAATTGACGTTGAACATTTTTCATCAATAATAATTATTTATCGTCAACTAGATCATTAAGATCTTTGTTTTTTTCTCAAAATATTCCTATAATCAAAGTATAAAATAACAGTACTAAAATAAAATTTTATAACGTACTTTATGTACATTTTTTCTTCATTAAAGTAACGACGTCCTTTTCCATAAGCGATTCAATACTTTTGATCGGTACTGTATATATATATTAATAATTAATTACATCAAATTACATTAAAAACACGTTCAAGATTTTATAATAATTACTATTCAAATTAATTACGATATTCCCATGTAAATTGATTTCTCACTAAATTTTGCGTAATTTTTAAAGAAGTCTTATAAAGCCATTATTGTTCAGCAATAACCGATTGAAATTTATCTAAGCCATTCTGCTGATCGTCGTAATCCTGAGATTTCGCAAACTTTTATCGTGGAAGTCACGCGTCTCCGAGATGTTAAAGCATTTATGGTACTTGTTAGTCAATCGCGGCGTTCGGTCATTCTGTTGAAAGTGCTCGGTCTAAGATAAATAATGAGGTGCAAAATCTTTAAGTCGCGGACAATCTTTGCGATTCTCACAACGCACGATAGAGCTCATTTCTTCGAATAGCTGAAAAAAAAGAAACTACACTACGCCGCAATCTAAAGTACGTCTCAGGTCAGTTTTACTTTGCGCCGCGCAAGCATTTGCATGCGCGGCAATTTTCACTTCTTGCGTGCATTCGCAATACACGGAAGTGAAGCGTATATAAATCGAATTTACGACGGTGCACTTCTCATTAGCACTTTTTGCGATATGTGAAAAGTAAAAACATGATTTATTCAGCGTCTTTGTAAATAACACGAGCCCTCCGATAAGTGCATGTTCTTGCGGTGACGCACATTATAAAATTTATATATCTCTTGATATTTTTTTTTTAAAGCTTAATCTACATTATTCGACACGCAAATCTCATTACCTTATATACATTTCTCAGATATGTTTTAAAAATATCTTTTGCATCTTGCTTTTCATATACGTTTATTTCACGAAAAGACATATTTGTATCTGCATTATTAAGAGCAGTTTTATTATTTTTGTAATTTTTGTGCAATGGACTCACGATGGACCCGACACTCGCCAATAACATTTTCCGTGTTTTATTAAATTCTGTTGTATATTCAAGATCTTGAAGTTCCAAGAAAAAAGGTAACCGCGACTGCAATCAGACACTTTCACATTTAATAGCAGGTAATTGACTACTTTCGCCGTGTATATAACAGCGAGGTATTGACTGTAAAAGTATCATGTCGCTTTAAACCGGTAGATCGCTATACGATTTAACACAGAAACCTGATGAATTATTAAAGCTGCGCGATTATAAATTCAAGGATTCTTGAACTTATTGTTGCGGAGAAAAACGATGTGACGATTAACATAATTATCTCGTAATAATGAAATGGTCATATCGATCTCACTTTACATGATTTATAACACGCATGAGAATTCAGGACACAATTTTACGTGCCGTAATACGAAAATCAGAATTATACTTACACGTATAACGTATATATGTGTGCACGTACATACAAACACAGCGTATAAAATTATATATAGAATTCTATATTAAAATAAAAAGAGAAATAAAATATAGGAGATTGATATATAAACGTTGTAAAAAATTCCAGGTTGATTTATCGTTTAGATTTAAACACAAACCCAACCATTTGCATTTTTAAATATTAACTCTAAGCAATCTGTAATTTGCATCCGATTTTAGGATATACAATAAATCCCGAATGTAAGACGATAGCTAAAATTAAGACTTGACTCCAGCTTGCAGAATACACGTATTAATAGTATTAACTTTAATTACTTATTTTAATTATTTCAATTAGTTTAATTTAATTAATTCAATTTTAACTATTTTGTTTGAATTGTAATTATAATTGTCTCACCAACTGATGAGTCAAGTTTTTCCTCTTAATCACATAAATATCTTGCACTTTGATTTGCAAACAAACAAATAACACACGTGAAATTGATTTGATAAGATATAATTATCTGAAGCGATAATAATCGTTTGAATGATGATTACGAACGAGAAATGGCTGCTGGTATACGTAAACCTGTGACGACAGAGAGATTTTAAAAATAGCATTGTACAATGATTAACATAATGCATTTCAAGATTGTGACGATGCATTGATTTATAGCTTACAATTAAGTCGGGTATTTGATGCTGGAATGCTCGTATATGTCGTGTGTCGGCTTTTTCATAACGATTTGTGACGCGAGGTACGAGTGGTAATGAAGTTTGTGTTTAAAGTAAGCATTCGACCGTGGCCGACGTTATGTTTGACGTATGACAATGTACGCGAGGCAAATTGCATGCAAATAAATGCGAAATCTCTCGCAAAAACGAGGCACGTTAAAAGGATTGTACGACGTGCGCCGCTTTACCGAACGTCTAAGATAAACGTACAGTTGTTTTAGTACTTTAAATGTAAAAAGTCCAGAATGGCGGATACAATATATGGCGAATGCGAACAATAAAATATCTTCGAAGTCTCTAATGAAAGATTCGCGTTGACACGGTTTTAAGATTAAAAAGATATATGAGGATTATAAAGATATTATATACAATGCAACTTATAAAAACAAAATAAAAAATATAACAACACGTATGTACACATTGCTGAAAATTATGCAGTAAAATCCAAAACTCTCGGTAATTATATTTAATTATTCTTTTTATATAATTTTTTCTATATATATGGA